TAAATGTTCAGAGAAATGAAATGGGTCTATTGTGAGAAACAAATGGTTATTGACAGAAATGAAAATGATCTCCCAATAGCCAAATCAGGCATTAAAGATTAATGTATTGTTAGAAGAGTTGTTTGTAAAGCCACTGCTTCACTCCCATGATCTCAGATGCATCGAGAGCATAAGGGACAGTAAGGCTGCAGTTACTAAAGTCAAGCCTACTCAGGAAAAATCTAACCTGACCTTAAAGATAATGAAATAAATTTGAACTAAAGTTATGAGACACCAAGAACAAAGCTGAAGCTCCAGCATTGAGGGCCATCACTAAGAAAACCCTGCTGCATGTCCTTGCTAATTTAGCTGTTCTAACTGGCAGATTAGTGAGTGGAACTGCTATTAAGTAGCATTCAAACAGATTTGGGTAAGATAAAATAGGTAATCCCATTTCAAACTTTTTCATAGAAGACAGTTAGAAATTCTCCCAAAATCAATTTGATACCCAATGCTGCTGACATCAATGAGATGCAAGTACTGTTTTCTGTCCTGTATCAACCATCTGATGATTAAATGCTCACACTGTCTGGAATTTCTCATCAAACCTCAGAGAAGACTGACAGGAAGTATATTTCAATAATCCTGATTCAAAACAGGGCTGCAACATATTGCCCTAAAGTACTCACAGTCACTTTGCCACTTGGGTTTCCTAGATAACAGGACCAAGCGAACCCCCAAATTCCTTACCTGTTGCAGTTGCATTTGTTTTTAATCATCATCTAGAACAACCTGTGTTGCAAATGCACAATGGTGAATTAACATTTAAATTGTTTTCCTATCTGCTCCCAAAGAGTACCAAATTGTTTATTCAGGAGATCCATAACTTATCTCACATTCCTATGAGTGAAAGAAAAGCATATGATAGATGATAGATAGATAGATAGATAGATAGATAGATAGATAGATAGATAGATAGATAGATAGATGATGGATGAGAAAAAGACAGACAGACAGACATATAACTTATGTTTCAGCATGACTTGCAACAGTTAGGAAAAAAATATCCCAAAATTAAAACTCTCTGCATTCTGCAAATTAAAGGCTAAAGACTGAAAGAAGATTCTCCCAAAATGAATCTTTAAGACTGGCAAGTTACTACAGCAGTGGGTCTCCTAATTCTAAATCAGATAATAGAGACAGAGAATATTATGGTCAGTAGTGTCAAAAGCTAAACAAAATCAACAAAACCCAGTGGGTTTCATTATTTAACCAGTCACTGGCAATTACTGAGTTTAGCTACTTTTTGCTTTAAAAACTGGTGAGAAGCTAAGAATGAAGTGTATTTAAACTAGTTTTTCAAACTAGAACATAAGCGTAACTTGTTAGATCAAGTCAAGGCCCAACCTAGTCCAGCCTTTTGATTGTCACAGTGGCCAACATGAGGTTTCTGGAATGTTCATGAGCAGGAGGTGAAAACTTTCTGCCTCTCACTCAATTCCCTACATATAGTATTTGGGAGCATGCTGCTCTCAGTGTGGTAGTAACACTAAGTATACAAGTCTATTTGTTTTTGATCAATCTACCCTCCACAAATTTATTAAATCTCCAAGTTTATTTTGTCCATTTCTAATCTACTTCACTGGATAATTTTTAGTCCTAGACTATTGAGAAACTGATAAAAAAAATTTCCTTGTCCACTTCTACTCTTCAACCACACATGCCTTCTCAGCTGCCTTTTTTCTAAACTGAAATGGCATCAGCGTATTTGATTTTCCTTTATTGAGTTCCCTGATTATTTTAATGTCTGCTTTCTGCAATTTTCCCATTTTATTATTTTTCAGATAAATAATTGCCTATATTCAGTAATACTGTTGACATACACATAGAGATTTGTGTAGCACTGTGACAATAGTCCCTCCTGGAGAAGGGCGGCATACAAATAAACCAAATACAAATACAAATACAAATACAAATATGGTCTTCTACCAAGACTACTTGAATTCTTCTTTTCAATATTACCTGGGGCTAGTGAGCCATCATCCACTGTAGAACTTTCCTTAAAAAGGATGGGAGATGAAATTATATTTGTACAAACTTATGGGTTATAAGATAGATATCTTTCAGGCAATTTCCTCCTAGAGAACAAAAAGGAACTTATAAATAGTCCTCAACTTACTGCCATAACTGGGACCAGAATTTCCATTGAGGAACAAGGTGGGCATTAAGTGAATCACGCTCAATTTTCAACCTTTTTGTCATGGTTTTTAAGTGAATCATTGCAATTATTAAGTGACTCGTGCAGTTGTTAAGTGACTCCTTTTCCCCCCATTGACATTGTTTGTCAGAAGCAAGTTGAGAAGGTTGCAAATGCTGACCACAGGACATGCAATCAATATAAATACATACTGGTTGTAAAGAGCCCGAATGTTGATCACATTACTGCGGGGATGCTATGCTGATCATAAGTGTGAGGACCAGCTATAAGTCACTTTTTCAGTGCTGTAGTAACTTCAACGAGTCGTTAAACTAATGAGGACTGTACTGTCCTGCAGTGGCATTGATATTTTAGGACTAGATTATCAAAAAAATTTCCCTGGCAAGCTTCAACAACTATGAGAGACAAAATTCCATAGGGAAAATATTGCTTCTATATCCATATATCTCCAACTCCACTGATTCTTTTGATTGCATTATTGTTAGCACTTAACACAGTCCAAAGAGGAGTGATTTATCCTACAGTGGGATGCAGACTGAGCTCAACAACCAACTAAATGATCCAAAATGAGTTGCTTTTGTGATTTGACGCAGGTTGAACTGAATTCTGAAAGCTTAGATGCCTGCAACTCTGCAGATACAATGCCTATGGAGAAATGTGTCCAGAATGTGGGTATGTGATTTTGTTGTGAACCCAGCTTTGTGGTTTGCTAAATATAACTCAGAGCTTCGTACATTGTGTAAATCCAGCCAATACCAGATTCCTCAACAAACCATGGCTAAGCAAACCTCAGCATAATGCAATGTGAGAATCCATTCGTTATCTCACTGGTGCTCATGTTCTTGCATGTTCTTTCTCCTGGTATGCCATCCATTTTTATTCTCTTCTTTCTGCTGTGAGTCTACGGCTTGTAAAAAGAACTGCTTGCAAGGCTTCAGCTGTCTATGGCTCAAGATTATGTAGTAATGTTTAGCTCCCTCTATCTTACTTGTCTAGCTATAGCTGGTGCTTGTAATACATTTGCTGATAGCCAGGGGCTTACGTAAACTGCAACCTGTTATGAACAGGTATTCATTTCAATTTAGAAGAGTGCAATATTTTATGTGATATTTCAACTGTTTTAGGGCTGCAGCACCTCTGTATCTCTATTTTCTTGGGATCAGTGCACACTAACTGACCATTTCTAATACTTGTTTTTTTATTTGCAGTGAGGCCAGTTCCTGTTCAGCTTGAAAACATTGCTTCAGCTTGCTTCCCAGCTCTACAGGGGTTGAAACTCTCTGGGCATCCAAACAAGCTTATTCAATGTGGGATTGAGTAGTGGTTACGTAAAAAAAGGGACAATGGGCAAGTTTGACGACAGTACAGCTGGGGGAAAAGAATCACAGTTGACTAATTTACTCTTTGGTGTGGTTTAAGAAAGAATCAACACTGCTGCCAAGATTTACCATACTTTTTATTGTCCTTTACAGAGTTCAAAGTGCTTCATGAACATTATCTTAGCAATCACCATTGCAGTTAAAGAAGTGGTGGTCATTCTACTACTTAGGTTGCAGGTATCATGTAAATACCAGCATTGCAAAGAAGATATAATTTCTAAATGGAAATAAATATTCAATTCAAAGTAATTATTTTGTGGTTGTGGATTTCCTGTTTCACAAGTCACTGCTTTATCCGTCTTGCAGTAATGCTCAGAATAACTGTGCGCAGCCTGTGCTTTGAACGAACTTCAGTTATTAAAGGAGGGGATCACTGTCACAGAAAAATGTGGCATACATCTTCATTATGCATATATCTTCCATTATAACTTCTGCATGCACTCCTAATACATATGTTATGAGAAGTCCTGTCTTATGAGAGCACTTAGTAAAAATCCTCAAGCACCAAATTCGAAGTCATTCTTTCCAGAGGTGGTATTCAGCAGGTTCTGACTAGTTCTGGAGAATCGGTAGCAGAAATTTTGAGTAGTTCGGAGAACCGGTAAATACCATTTCTGACTGGCCCCATCTATTCTCTGCCTCCTGAGTCCCAGCTGATCGGGAGGGAAGGGATTTTACAGTATCCCTCCCCTGCCACGCCCACCATGCCATGTCCACAGAACTGGTAGTAAAATTTTTTAAATCCCACCACTGATTCTTTCTCATTTTGGCTTAATGTTGTCCCTCTGAGTAGTCCTAAAACAAGAGTTAACCAAGCAACCTCCATAACTGGAATGAACTTGTAGAGGGGGGAAAAAAACCCTCCTTTGTGTATAGACCGGTAAGTTGAGTTTGACTTGTAGTGACTTCATGAATATGTTCATATGTGTGTTTGTGATGGGGTGGGGGAAGCAGCTCATCAGAAGCCTTGTTTGCAAGGCTTTCTTCTTCTGATATGCTTCACTTCCCCAACTCAGGGAGTTGCTGGTGATCTCTCCATTCAAACACCAACCAAGTTTTTGACCCAGTTTTGCTGTCTCGAGGTCAGCCAAGGTCGACTGTCATCTGCTGTGGCCCTTCTGCCGGTCAAATCACCCCTGACTGGCCACTTAGGGGGTACTTGAGGGGTTGAGATGCAACTCGTTTCGATGTGGACGGTACGGAGCTACCAGGCGTGTACTCGCCGGTCGTTCGAATCAGAGTAACCGTACACATTGGATTCCTGAGCCCCGACTCCTTGGGCGGTTGCCGGCTGCGAACCGGAGAACTGAGACCTTTCCCGAGGAGCCTCCCCCTTTGTGGGCAGGGCCAAGGAGAAACTCTCCGCCGGGCACGGAGCGGGCGAGCCAGTGTTGAGAGCCAGTGCGCGTTTGTTGAGACTCTCCAGCTGCGCCTGCCTTCGCCCGCCGGGGAGCGCAGCGTTCTCGCCCCTTTCGCTCGCCCCCGGCTGGCTTCCCCGCAGCTTTCCAGGACGGGACGATGTCGTCTTCTTCTTCCTCCTCCAAGGCGTGGAGCTTGGGGCGCCTGTCTCTTTCCTCCAGGAAAGGCAGCCTGAAGCCCTCCGTCCTGGAGCTGGCCGAGAACGCCCCCAACACCCACTACGCGCCGTTTTCCGTCTCCTCGCCCGCGGGAGCCCTGGGCGCGAAAGAGCCGCCAAGCAGCGGCGAAGTAGCCGAGGCGGCCACGGTAGTGATGAGCGGCGATTTCCCGCGCCCGCCGATCAGCTTGGATCCGCGCGTCTCCATCTACAGCGTCCGCAAACCTCTGCTCAGCCGCAGCAACATCCAAGGCCGGGTTTACAACTTCTTGGAGAGACCCACCGGCTGGAAGTGCTTCGTCTATCATTTCACCGTGTGAGTCGAACAACTTTTGCTCTCACCTCGCGCCGGCCGGTCCTGCGTGTGCAGCTGCCGCCTCCGCCCCCTTCCTGCTCTGGGTGGCTGCTGCTGACCTCTAACGTCCGTCCCCCCCCCCTTTCCCTTCCCCGGCGGCCTGGTTAAACCCCCGGAATCAAGGGGAGGAAATGGAGGGGAAGGCCAGCACTTCGTTCCTGGCGTAGGAAAGGCGTGAAGGCGCTGGGAGGGTGGGCTGGAGAGAGAGTGAGAGAGCCCAGCCCCCCTCCCCGCTCTCCAGGAGTTGGAGACTGGGATGCCTGAGGTTCCGTCGTAAGTGCGACGGCTCGCGTGTAGCCGGAGAGCTCTTCCTCCCGCGATTGACGTAGCCCCCGTGTCTGCAGGGCTGACTCGGAAAAGAGTCTCCCTCCCTCCCCTCGGCCCGGAACTAAGCGGGCAGCCTGTCGCAGGAGGCTGGCTACACACTGGGCTTGCTCCCCCTCCACTCCCCATCTCTGTTTCCTAACTGCACTCGGGCTGCCCAAGAATTCATACTTCAGCAGAGTGTAAAAATACTGCTCAGGCGGTTTTCAAAGAAACTCAGCCCGGCGCTTGTGTGTTTTCCTTGCAAGTCAATCCACTGGAGTTCAGCTCCTACCGAGGCCACTGGAAACAGGGTTTTTAAAGAGTAA